GCCCAGGTTGCCCAGAGAGGTGGTGGGTGCCCCATCCCCGGAACCGTTCCAGGTCAGGCTGGACGGGGCTCTGAGCAACCTGATCTAGTTGAAGATGTCCCTGCTCACTGCAGGGGGTAGGACTAGATGGCCTTTAGAGGTCCCTTCCAACCCAAACTATTCTGTGATGCCTGTGACTCCCCAGGGACTTGGGAGATGCCACACACACCCCACCCGCTCCAGACCTCACCGAGATGTTACCAGCAAACAACCCCCCCGAGCTGGCCGGTGATGCAGACCTTCAGCTCATCACCTTTGTCTTTGCCTCAAGAGAGCGGACAGCCAGCAGCGATGGGGTGGTTTTTTGGCTGTTTGAGCAGGGCTACCTCTCTGGTACGCCCTGTTTAACACCATCACTCAACCGGCAGGCTCGCGCCAGCTTGGCGTGCTTCTCGGAAGAGGAAACTCCAGTCTGCCCAGTCGCTGCCCGCCGAGGCCAGGTCGCTTGAGACTCCAGCCACAGCATCTGCTGGGACCCGCTCACCTCCAGAAGCCGGGTACGAAAATACAGCGGTGGCAAAACAGCTGGGGATGGGGAGGGAAGGGCAGATGGGTCTTTCCATCAGCTCCCTTCCTCTTTATCCACCTTTCCTGCTGGCTATCGGCAATCTCTGCCACCGAGGTTTTGCGAGGACCCTCGTGAAGGTGCCGACGCTGGAGCAACCCCAACCCTGAGCAACTTCGGCCAATGGGACCGACCGGTCCGGGGACTTTCCCCAGGGCTGCTGCCAGCCCAGACATGGAGCCGAGGGCAGCTCCGGCTGCTCGGGGCTCTCTGTCCCTCCCTGCCCTTCAGCAGCCAGGACCGCTCCACTGGCTTCAAGCACCAGGAGGCTCGGCAGGTCCTGGGTGCATCTGCATCCCGCTGTGCGCCGGCGGGCAAGGGGCGATGCTGCAGGGACCGCGACAAAGCTCCTTCCCAAACCACCGAGCTAGGAGAGGGAGGCACAAGGAAATTTCCCATATGGATGCTCAAGGAAGCAGTTTTTTGGGTTGAGAGGAGCAAGCCGGAGCCTGAAACGGGGATGTGCCCAGCCGGGAGCGTGCTGCAGGCAGCCCGGCTCCTGCTGGCATGGGAAGCAGGCAGAAAGGCCGTATTGTGAGAAGCCAAGTCTGGAGAGCCCCCTTCTCCTCCCATGGCCCTCATGGCATTCAGACAGCAGCTGGCACCGCCGCCCACTTCAGCGCTAATGAAATCTGATGAGCCGGACCCGTGACTGTCTCCGTCCTGCCAGGAAGGGCACGCGAGGGCTGGTTCCCACCCTCCCTCGCACCAGCGGGAACTGGGAGCGCCCCCCCCCCCCCAGGCCCAGCACAGAGGGGGGAACGAGACCTGTCGCCACGCTAAACCTCGCTCAGCAGAAGCGGGATGAAGCCCCCCCAGGACCAGGAGTGAAGGTGGCCAGGGGTGCCATCCCTGTTTTGGCAGCACCATGAGGATGGGTGGCCCCAGCCCACCCTCCCGGCACGTGTTTGCACCTACTGAGACCACCCCACCGGCGCTCTCCCTCTGCTCTGCCAGGAGGGAGCATCTCCCGTCTCACGGTACCTGTCCCATCCGGGGTGGATCTCACGAAGGTGGGCAGCATCTTCACCGAGGCGGTAGGATTGGTGTCTGCTCCAAGCCCCTTCTCCATCTCCCTTCTGAAACGCTGGGACACCTCCTGGAGGGTCTCCTCGGAGAGCCGCATGTCGTAGAGGTACTTGTCGATCTGAAAGGTGGAGATAAAGCCAAAAAGTCAGCTGGAGGGTCGGGGGCACGGGCACAACCATCCCCGTGACGTGTTCAGGACAACGTTCGGCTCCCCTCACATCTGCTGGGGCTGATGCAAGAAGCAGGAGCAAGTCGTGACCCACCCCGAAGGGGCCGTGTTCAGGACAACGTTCGGCTCCCCTCACATCTGCTGGGGCTGATGCAGAAGCAGGAGCAGGAAATGGCTGGTGCAGCCCCTTTCCCGCCAGGCCCCCAGGCCCCAAGCCCCCGCCAGCAGTGCCGCAACAGCTTCTCTCCAGCCATGCCGATAACGCCCGCCGCCGCTCTTGCACCCCTTCCTGAGCACCCGGGGCTGCTCTCCAAAGAGCTCACCAAATGCCAGCCCGCGCCCTCCTCGGCAGCATCCCCTCGCACAGACGGGGGCCGGCTTGTGAATGCCGAACCCCAAGGAGCTCCCGATGCTCCGCGGCATCTTCTCCGCTCATTCACCTACGGGCACCCAAACAGGTTGCGACAGAAGTAGGACCCAAATTCGACAACCTTCCCTGCCCGGGCTGTGAGTCAGGAGGTCAGTGCCAGAGGTTTTCCAGCTGCGGAGCCCTTCCTACGCCACGGCGGCAGCGTGCCTCGACCTTGACCCCCAGGGCCTCTTCCTACGTGAAGGATGCTCGGCAGGAATCCACTGCCCATTCATTTCTTCGCTGCTGAGATCACCCCTACAAAGGGTTATGGTGCCGAGAGCTACTCAGCTCCCTTGACCAAACAATGCTGTGTGACAGGAGTGGGTGTCGTGGCCAGAAAGGGAAGAAATCCACCCCCCCCTGCTCCTGGCAATCATTTATACCCTTATACTGAGGCTATGAAGATGCTCGGCTCCTTCTATAAACGGCATCAAAGCGTCTCGTCTTTCCCGGGAAAGGCATGGAAAAACTCCTCCCCAACCCACACATTAGCACCGTGCATGTCTCCGCGGCCTGGCCGGAGCAGGGAAGGGAAACGGAGAGGCGGACAGACTGCCAGCTCCCAAACTATGCCCTGTTTCAATTAACTTCACTTAAAATTAATTAAAGGGCAGCTGCAAGCCCTGCGAAGTCAGAGGAAAACTCCACCCAGTTAGGTCACCTGTCTGCAGGCACGTAACATAAGGTCATCAGAAATCAAGCATGAATTTTTTTTTATATAGGGCTACGCTATAGGAAATGGGCATTTTGTGGGCAAGTAATAGCCATCCGCCCCAGCGTGACCTCGCTCACGGATGCAGCCGCTCAGACCCTGGGCTGAACAAAACAGCTCTGCTGTGGTTTCGGCTGCCTGCGTTTCAGGCTTGGGATGCTCCGGCTTATCCTTTCCCCCCTCCCAGCTCTGCTGGAAATTTAGAAGCCGAGTCCCCAGTTGCTTCACCCGCTGCGGCGAGGTCGGAGGACTGAGGGAAGCCCAGCCGAGCACGCTCCAGGAGATGCTTTATTCCCCGGGGAACGGCATCCTCGCCGGTGTGATGGGTAAAACCTCCTCCTGATTTCTCTTGGTGCTTTCCGCTCCTTCCCATTAATTGGGAGCGGAGCACGAGCGCCCGCCAGTTGGGAGACCAGGCAGGCATGAGGGAAAGGATAAGGATAAGGAAACCTGGAGGTTTCCCAGTGCTGGCTGTTTACCAGCCCCTCCTTATCCAACCCAGCAGCAGGAAGTCAAACAACTCCCCTCCTTCCACTCCTATTTGCTTTCGCTCGCCGAAAATTGCCACCCACGTACCCAGGCTCCGGTTACGGGCACAGGGAAGGTGGCCACTGCCCCAGCTCACCTCCACCCTCGCCCTCCTCTTCCAGCTTCAAGAGGGGCCCAGGTCCGGAGCCCCCCTCCAGCCCAGCCCCAGGGTAGGAAATCTCCCGTTTAGCCGCCCCGACGGTTATCGGTCAATGCCGTTGACCCAGGGCAGAGGGCCCAACCCCGTTTCTTAGAGGGCCCAACCCCATTTCTTAGCTGTGAGCCGGAGACATAGTGTCGTCCCGGCTCACAGGGGCCTTTCACAGCCTCCTCGGGAGCCCCCGACCTGCCCCTTGGCGCGGGGAGGACCTCAACCAGACTCCGTCTCCTCTCCAGCAGCATCTGACCTGGGGTGTCGGTGATAATTAGAGACAAAGCCGGCCGACAGTGGGTGCTCTGCCTCCCAGCAGCCTCTCGCCCCCGTGAGACCTTCCTTCACTGGACTTCTTTGGCAGCCTACGGTGGTCAGGGGGTCCTGGTGAGACCACCGTGAGTGGGGATGGGGTCCCAACGAGGTGTCCCCATCCCAGCGGTGGGGTACCACACCAGCAGGGCTCGGGACAGAGCTTCACCCTTGCACGAACCGCACGCTGCTGGTGTTTCTCCCCTGTCTGCCACCCTGACTTTGCTGGCTTTTCCTCCTGGACTCACAAGATGCTGCTAGGGGAAGATCTCATCCCAGAGAAGCTGGATGATTTGGAAGCTCGGATGCACAAGAAGCCATCGCTGTTTGCTCCTTGATTCCTGCCCAAGGCACGGGGCAGTGAAGATGCTGCGTGCACGACCAGCCAGCCCCCAAAATCACAGCACGGGGAAACGGGGTGGAGGTTTCACCTCCTTTCTCCAGGACAGGCACCGCTCAGCACGTTCCCCGTGTCCTCCAGGCTCCACCATACCAGGAATAATCAGCAGCATGAGAAACAGGGTGACCTTCTTCTAATCTCCAAAGCCCTTTAAAACCTGGATCATCTTCTCCTACGAACGTAGGTATCGTCCCACTTGGCAGCTAAGGCAGGTCAGGGCGTCCTGCAGAACGGCTCCAGGGCAGCAACAGCTCAGCTCCTTCCCAAGCGAGACCACCTTGGTGTGCACCTGCCCCCCGCCGAGGAAGAGCCACGGCCACCTTCACGCCCAAGGCTTCCCAGCCCCACGGCCCGGTTCGTTACTCCAGTTCCCCCCCCCTGCACCCGAGCACACCTCAAATCGTAGCAAAGATCTGGTAAAAGAGGGGAATTTAGTCTGCAGCGCCGGAGCATGAGTATCTTTCAAGACAAACAACCTTCTCAGTTGTGTAACCTTTTTTTTTGTGTTTTTTTTAAGATCATTGCCAATTCCAAATAAATAAAGTCACTAGGTTAGGATCCGGAATGGGGCAATTTAATTTCTGGAAAGCTTCCATCATAAATAATAGTGTTTCCCTGAGGAAATCTAAACTGAATGGAGGAGGAACAGATTTAAGCTGGGAAGTGCCGGGCGTGCTCGGCAGCCCCAGACAGTTGCACACAGGGCAGGACATTTTGTTAAAGAACCGGATCATTAGAGCCGCTGTGGGTGTAACGAGTTCGATGCACGGGCGTGCTCACAGCCCCAGACAGTTGCACACAGGGCAGGACATTTTGTTAAAGAACCGGATCATTAGAGCCGCTGTGGGTGTAACGAGTTCGATGCAATTTTTTTGAACTAAAGCCGAGCAAATCCCCACCTCCTAGCTCAGAGCTGTCTCCAAAGGCTCGGCTAATTTCTACGCCGAGCATCCGCTGCCGGGTGATGGGGAAGTGCCCAGCATCGCCCCTCCCCAGCTGCGATGCCACCGTTGGGCAAGGTCCATCCGCCCCAAGGCTGAAGAAACCTCAAGTTGCCCAATTTTTGCCGCCAGCTGGAAGCTGAGTGAGCTGTGCCAGGCTGAGCCAAGCTTAAAAGTACCCCAAAAGCCAGGTTTGCCTTTGCAATGAAGGTAATGAACTCGCGGTTCCAGTACCAGCACCACAGCTGGAAAGCGTTCTTTTGCCTGAAGACTTCTCTTAATCCTCTCATCAGAGCTAGACCCTAAGGGGTCAGCGCTGCAAATATATTAGCCTGCGAATAACTGCATTCCAATTCAATGCCACTATCCACAGAGCAAAAAATTCCTCGGCTTTTATGTTTGCAAGACGGACCCACCAACGCAGCTACTTGCAAGTGTGGAAAAACCCTCCCCGACAGATCTATCCCGTATCACCGTCCCCCCTCTATCCCGTATCACCGTCCCCCCTCGGCGGGGGGATGCAGGGGCAGCGGTACGGCTCGAGCGGTCCGAAGCAGGGAGGACGAAGGCTGCCGTTCCCCTCGCAGCGGTAGCGGGGACCCTTTTCCCCATCACTCGCTGGGGACGTGGGGCAGGATTGCTGTCGGTGCTGGAAATTACAGCGTGACAGCGGCTTCCGGCAAAGCGCAACCGTTTCCTGCCCAGTAAAGAGCAGCGGGGAAGGGGAAAGACTCAGGGTGGTTCATTCTCATGCAATAAGGTCTCGGCCACATCTTCCCCGTTAATGATCCCAGGCCCCGGGAAGGGGAAGCTGCTCCTCTTTCGTTTCAGTTTTGCTCCCGGGTCTTTTTCCAAAGCCACGTGTCTGGCGAGAACCAGACCGGGAGCCGATGTTTCCAGCCCCCCCAGTACCCGCTCGCTGTAGTTTTCAGCTGGATGTGCATAATTTCAGCAGCATTTGGGGGGAAAAGCGTAACGCTGGGAGAGGCTAGCTGGTTTCTGGCCTGGATTCTTTTCCTTTTTGGCAACAGAAAGTCAAATATTTGTTGTGTATGAGAACAACGGAGAGCTGTTCAAGTTTGGGGAAGGCTCGAGCACTCCTGACCCACAGGTGTGCATAGTCAATCCTCTCTCCAGGGTAATCTCTGCCTGAAATTATTTTTAATTTAAATTACTTCCCTCCCCATCCCAGTTTTTAACTGGGCTGGGTTTTTTTTTTTTAAATCGCTGAATTTTTTTGGAATAGCGACTCCCTCCCTGCTTCTTTCAGAGGAGGACGCTGTGTGAGCACCCAGCAGTTACCAGGGCGAGCCAGCAGCCGTGCCCCCATCCTGCCCAGATCCGCGGCGAGATGCGACAGATTCGGGGAAACCGAGGCAGAGGGAGCGGCAGCAGTTCAGCAAGGTCGCAGGGTGAATCCGGGAAAGCATCCAGCACGGGGAGCGTTTTATTTCCTGGCTCAGGACCGTAACCCGGCATGCACTTTGCAGCTTTTATTGTCGGATCAGGGATGGGCACCGCAGCACGGGACAGACCCTGTGCCACGTCCTCAGCCCCTGTGCCACGTCCTCAGCCCCTGCACACCGAAAACCGGCGCTCCCCATCCCCGTGTCGCCCCGCCGTTACCCAGCCCGGGCTGACTCAGCGCCGAGAACTGGCCTGTCCCCTTCCCCGACCTCCCCGCCTTCAGTGACACAGGACTGATGCTGGGCTGCACCCACCCTACTCCAGCCCTGACCCCGGCAGCACCCACGTCCTTGGCTGCTATTGAGGACTCTGCACCGAATTAAACCCCACGTGCCCTCCCCGCCACAGCCAAGCCTCTGATGACACACGCCCGGAGTCATCTTGAACCCGAGTGAGTCAGATGGTTTCCTGCTCGGCCGGTTCCTCCCCATCCTCGCCCCCCCCCCCCCCGGACCCGCGCCGAAACCC